TGCCTCATAGGGTTGTCTTTCTTTTGATGACCCTCTTTGAAATCTATAACTATGGTTGGAAGCCAAACAAACCAAATGGTAGAAATTATACTGCAAATTTAATCTATTTGTTTAATAAAAATGTTTCTGAAAAGCTACAAATTTATGAGGAATGGTAAGGATACGGAATGGAAAGATGGATATTAATTAAAAGGTATCGTTATTGGTCCCACATGGATGGGCAATGTGAGGGTGTTGAAAGAGAGGTTAGAATAAAATGAAGGAGGTGGGGAAGGGAGAAAAAACATCTTTGCGCTTGGGGCAATGACGTAGCTAATGAGGTAATAACCGAGGYGCGTCAATTGCTGGYTRAAAACTATTTCCAAACCCCCTCCTCGGCCTTGGGTATTCCCCTTGGCTGTCGAGAATTTATGGAAGGGTTCTCTTGCGGGAATAACCCTACAATTTTCTTAGTTTACAAATTTGTTTTGAAATGTRTGTTAGAATTGTGGTTTTCTTGTATCTGCTAATGTTGTTCAACAAATCAGTCGGCAYAGTTTTGCATTGCAAGTGTTGGAAAAGATATGGATGTCGCAAAGGTTATGGAAGTCGAGTCGAATGTAGAAACTGTTTCAAGGACTAACTGTTTGAGCAAAGGCTAAGAAGCATATCTTGCTTTTCATATTGCTATGTATAGTAAGTAGTATGGSAGAAGCATACAGTTTCCCATTTTGCCAACTTTTACTTGCTAATTCATTTAGATCTATGTTAATTCATATGTACATCACTTGATGTTAAAACGTCATGTCATCTTCTGTAGATGTCTTGATCTCATGTGATTTCTCCCCCTTCGCGCAAAGCTTGATGTTTGAATAACTCGAATATCACCGTGCCTGATGTGTTTTCTTTTTGTGGCRTAAATMGAATCACCATCAACACCTAGACGAACCCGGTGGCTCCTAGGCCTTAACGATCTTCTCAAATGATTTCGCTTGTGGTCTCGTAGTCGGTAAGATGACCTTCTCCATCTACCAGTGCTGCTTATTTCCATGTCTGTATCCTGATCACTTCTGATACTCATGTCAAGCATTTCAATGTCTCTCAGATGTCTTTTGCGTTCACGTTTGACCTTACGCAGCATACGACATAGCCAATAGCATCCATGGACCCAGCCTAAGAAAATTGTCGACAAGCATGCCCAAATCATTTTGCACGAATTTCGACAAAGGCAATGACATACCCCAAGCTTGTACAACAAATACAGCAATAGCAGAACTGCAAACATATCAAAGAAAACAAAGCAAGATATGGGTTAAAAGGGATTGCCTTCAACTTCTGGTTTTTCTTCAGAATTTCATTAAACCCTACATGTATATAAAAAACAAACAAACCCAGTGTATACACCCGAAACTTAGGCCTGGGGTAAGATGTACATAAATGTTTTCAGTTGCATCAAGAGGAAGAGGCTGTGTCTGAAAGAATTTGAGGTGTGGGGTATAAAGCGCATGACATATGGGATACTGGGGCATGGAAATTCTAGAAGTCACAAGCTACATCAATGTCTATGTGTGCATACAGTCTAAAACAAAAGCAGAAAATTGAATGAAAAAGCAACATATGTTTGTTGTGATTCATATTTTATGTATCATACTTCCAAGATTTCAATTTGGTACCTGAGCCGTGACATCTCAAACATTTAAGTACCTAATTTAAATATGAGAATGCTTTTCATTTGGTTCACTTCCTATTTTGTGTAACGTACTTAGGGGTTGTTTACCAACAATGACCGGGTAAGCACGTAGCGGGTAAGATTCTGGGACCTTGGCATGTCTCTTACCGGGTAAGATTATTGGTTCTTGCCATGTTCGCCTAATAAGGTAGCAAGTGTTTGCCCGGTTAGCCTTTGGCAAACAGCTCCTTCTAATGTTGATATCATATCTTAAGTACCAAAATAAAGGTTTTAATAGTATGTAACACAAAATAGAAACCAGACTAAAGTACTTTATATCTTCATGGAATTTGCTCAAAACGAAAACAATTAAGGAAAGACATTATCCTACCATTCACGAATATAAAATAGAATATACTTACGCTCAAGTATTATCGTCTTTCTACCTTTTGCTTAATGTGCTCCATTGAAGAAAAAGAACCTATTAATGATGTCTTGTCTACTTTCTCTCATAGCCATAAAAATCAAGATTTCCGAGGATAGATCAATGCAGCATAGGATGTGCACACAGTACATCCAGTGTCCCGGCAAGGTTCAGAAAGCACCCCTGATTCCTTTCCTAGTTATAAAATTAAACACATTTTAACAAGTTCAATATTATAACAACTATCAAACTTTAAAAAGTTTATTGTTATAAAAATGTATCATGTTTTAGAATTGGTCATATTTTGTACAAAAGTTAACGTCATAAAAGGATTGGTTACCTTTAAAACGTATGCCTTTATTAAAAACCATCATGTTTAAAATTTGTAGTAAAAGGATATTATTTCTAAAGTTTCATTATGTTCTCGTGTTTGAGCAAAAAGAAAAAGAATGGAAAAAGAAAGTTTTTTATTTGTTTTCTTCGCAGGTATAGTAAGAGAAATGAATGAAAAAGAAATGAAAAGAGAACAATTATTCATGTTCTTAAATCGAAGAAAAAGGAAAGTGAAGATGTCACTTTTACAAGTATACCGTTCTCACCTTCCTTGTAAGAAGGTAATTCTGTCATAAATGATCAGATTTTTCGTTCAAACTTTTTTCCATTCCTTATTTTTCCGAGGAAATTTCTGTCTAAAAAGTTTAAAGAAAACATGGTCTTTTCTTTCTTTTCCTTCAAAAGTCTCGAGAACACGATATTAATGTTACGAACCATTCATTTGTCATGTTCTAAAGTTTAGAGAAAATGACGTATTTCGTTTTTTTCTTTTAAAATTATGATTTTTATCTCTATGGTTTACAATTCATTACTGTTTCCGTCCCTATACTTTACAGTTACAGTTTATGATCTTCTTGGAGCAAAATAATCATATTAAAATAATAGCAAAGTACCCCTACATATAAATACAAAACTATTTTATGATGCTGAAATTCAATTATTTTGTTGTTTGGTTATTGAAGGCAAATTTGAGTTTTTATGCCCAATGAGTCCCTTGGATATCATGAATATGCTCAATGCTGATATGATAACCATCGAAAAATACATTTTAAAGATGTATTTCGGATTTTTTTAAAACCCTTCTATATAATCTCATATTTCTCGGTACGAAACTTTGAAACCCAAATCCTTCCATCAAAACCTCTCGTTGTCGAATATATTAAATATTTTGATGATGCTTGAGAGGAACTTGATACGAGATTAATACTAGTCCAACATGTTCAATAGTGATGGAGCTCAATAGAATAATTAAACATACTCGATTGAGTCTGATACATGTTCGATAGTGGTAGCAACAATAACAAGAACCCGTCAAATATGATGCGGCATATGATGACATTGTTAATTGACAAGATACTTATCCACCATACATTTTCATCGTCTCTTATTCCATGGAATATGTACTAGATAAACGTTCAATAGAAACTTGATAGACATTCGATAAGATCTAAATTAAAGTTCGCTATTGTTGAAGATACACGAGGGAATTGAGTTTTATATGTTGGAGAGACTAACTAATGTTTTATGGTATGGAGGTCTACAAGAGAGGCTAGAAGGCCAAAAAGAGATAGTAAGCAAGAACTATTAAGCTCCAAAATGTAGCAAAAATGTTGGTGGAGCATGAAGAACATACGAAGGAAAAGTATATTGAATTGACGCTGTTTGTGGATGTTGATTTCTCCAATGTTAGGATGGATAATGAGTAGTCGATGCTTCAACCTGTGTCAACTTAATATACTTCTCCTTCCTATGTTCTTCGTGCACCAACAATGTCTTCTGCTACATTTTTGATGTTGACTGGTTTTTGCTTACGATCTCTGGTAGGACTGCCACCCTCTCTTGTTGACCTTGTACATATGTCATTTTCTTGATAACTCAGATGATGATTTTAGAAATACTCATATAAAAACTCACCTAAATGGGTATGTTATAGTTGGAGTAATCGACATCTTCAATCATCCATATCACATCTATCTATAGACATATATCATATATGGGTGATCGAAGAAAGATTTATCTTATTTTAAAGAACAAATGATACATATTGATTGTTTAAAAATAAAAAAGAGTTGATAGTCACATCTACGTTGGTCTTAGACCTCGATGCATCTTTTTTTTTTTTTATTTATTTATTTATCACAAAGAGCTCATCTTTCTCAATATTTCAACCATAAATAAAAGGAATGAAGATATGTTTTTAACATGTGTAACTCTAAATGTTTGTTTGTCGATTGTGAATGGAAGGCCTAATTTCCCATGATTCTCTCTAAACAAAATGTCTGTTAGTTACATCCTTATCTATAGGGATCGATAAACTCCGGACATTCTTGAAAATCCAAGAATCACCATCCACTTCCTTTAACACTATTTACATTTGAACATGTATGAAACAAAATAAAGTCAAAAAGCAACAACTAGAGTTCCTATAAAATTATATGAACTATTATCCAACGACAATCACACTGGTTATCTTCGATACAAACCATGAATAAGAGAAAATAAATAATACCTTTAATTATAGAATAAATAAATTGTAATTTCATATTAATTAGAAAAAACACATTCTTTAATTACGAAGCAATTAGTTGTATAAAGACCGAGAATGAAGCTCAGCGATGGTATTTTGGAGGACAAAAAAAAAAACCATCATTGTAGAATGTAGATAGTGGTCTCTTAAACAAATTGTTGTGTTTAATTTTAATTAGTAGATGGTTGTTTTTTTAGTGATGTGGGTCATACATGGTCTCATTTTGGCAGATATCGTAATAATTGATCAAGTAAATTAACCCAACATCTTCCGTTTCTCCTTCCTCCCCAAACTTGCTGCTCACTCACTCACTCACTCACTCCCTCACTCCCTCCCTCTGTTCAACCATGGATCTCCCCTCTTCTACTCCCATTTCCACCATCTTGCTTGCTTTACTTTTACTCTTCCCAGGTGATTTTTCTTTTTAGATCTGCCTTCTCTAATCTTCACTTGTGTTTCTTTCTCAAAGCTTTTATGTTTTCTCAGGTGGTGTTCTCGGAGCTACATTCACATTTGTCAACAAATGCGATTACGCAGTATGGCCAGGTATACTTGCCAATGCCGGAACTCCATCTCTTGACACCACTGGCTTCGAGCTCCCACAAGACACTTCTCGTTCCTTCCAAGCTCCCACCGGCTGGTCCGGTCGTTTCTGGGGAAGAACCGGCTGCAACTTCGACGGATCCGGCTCCGGTTCATGCCAAACCGGCGAATGCGGTTCTGGTCAAGTGGAATGCAACGGAGCAGGAGCCGCGCCGCCGGCAACACTGGCTGAGTTCACTCTAGGTACAGGAGGCTCCGACTTTTATGATGTGAGTTTGGTGGATGGGTACAATCTAGCAATGATAGTGGAGGCATCGGGTGGGTCGGGTTTGTGTGCAACCACCGGCTGTGTGAACGACTTGAACCAGCAGTGCCCGAGTGAGCTGCGCGTGGAGTCGGGTCAGGGATGTAAGAGCGCGTGTGAGGCTTTTGGAAGTCCGGAGTACTGTTGCAGCGGCGCGTACAATACACCGGCCACCTGTAAGCCGTCGGTGTATTCGCAGATGTTTAAGTCGGTTTGCCCTAGATCTTATAGCTATGCTTATGATGATCCTACTAGCACCTTTACATGCGCCGGAGCTGATTATACGGTGACGTTTTGTCCTTCTATGCCAAGGTTGGTTTCTTTCTTTCTTTCTTTCTTTCATTTCAACAAAGTGATATGCTATCATATGTTGTACGTTGTGTATCAAAAACAGTACATTTCAATGGATTTATTTATTTATATTTTTGCAGCCAGAAATCTTCACGAGACACATCTCCATCTCCTCCGTCGACCACCACCACTGATGGTAACGCTAACACCACCCCAAGCATAGAATCTGGATATGGATACGGTTCAATGACCGGGTCGGGGTCAGAAGGATCTGGATCAGTATCCGGGACGGGTTCAGAAGGATCTGGATCAATATCCGGGTCGGGTTCAGAAGCCCTTGAGGCTAATGGGTCATGGTTAGCTGGTTTAGCTATGGGTGGGTCCACAAGGACTCAGCCTTTGTATGCCACGCTCTCTTTTATGATTCTCCTTCCCTTTTTATTTGGCTAGCTTTTTCTCCAGAGCTGAAATATTCTAAATCCAGAACATGGTACAAGCTTCAATGAATAACGTACAAGATGCTATGAGGGCAATTGTTTGATTTTTGTTATTTTAGCTCTGGAAGAGAAATTCTGACCAAACTGGAGATGGGGCAAATATAATTGGACGATATTGACCTTGTTGTATGAAGGAGAAGGAGAAGGAGGTAGATGTGAGGGTGATATTTTCTAATAACGTTTGTTCTTAAAAGGAGATGTATCGTTTTGTGGGAAAGTTGTAATGTAAAAACATTTTTTAGGTTTGGTGATTTATTGAACGTTGATAATGGGAAAAAAATGGCTTATAAACTAGCTTTAACTTAGTTTATTTTTTTAAGTACATGCTTGGATTTGGATGTATATAAGTTAACTTATTGAAATATTATTTATATTAGTGTTTTGGTAGCTTATTGTTACTTTTTTTAATTATAGCTTTAATTATTATTTATTACTAGTAATTATAAAAAAAATTCAAAAAGATTTGACAAACTATTTTATTTTTGAGTGATTAAGTTAAATTATTTTTTTGAATAAAAAATTATTAAATTTTTTTATTTTGAATGATTAAGTCTTTGAATTATTATTTTAAAATAAAAAATTATTAAATTTTTTTATTTTGAATGATTAAGTCTTTGAATTATTATTTTAAAATAAAAAATTATTAAATTTTTTAGTTTTTATTGATTAAGTTTCTGAACATTTTAATCAATAACCCATTGTATTTCTACAAATTTGTTACCTATGTCATTTTAAACCAAAAAAATTTGGATTAATTGATTAGTAAAAGTTTAATGATTTATTTATTTATTTTAAAAAAATTTAAAGTTTTAATCAAGTAAAATGTGAAAGTTTAATAATTTTCTCATTCAAAAAAATAATTCATGGACTTAATCATTTAAAATGAGAAAGTTTTATGAATTTTTCATTCAAAAAAATAGTTTAGGGATTAAATCATTCAAAATGAGAAAGTTTGTTGAGTTTTCTTGGATGTAATCCCATTTAAATATTATAGATATCAATAAATATTAATTATCAATAAATATAAATTGAAAATTAATTATTAATTATTTTTAATACATTAATATTATTTACAATAATTATTAATTTGTAACAATTTATGTTCATATTATTATTCTTTTAATTATTATTAAATATATTTAGTTATCAAAACAACAATATAACAATTTTAATAATRTTTATGTAACATAAACCTTAAGGTTATGATTATTTTGTTTTATAGATAATAAAAATGTGTTAAATAATTTGAATAAAATATTTAATTTAATTGGTAAATATATTTTTGAAAAAAAATCAATAAATTAGGATATGTGATGTATATCATTTTTATTTTTATTCATATTATACGTAATAGTTATTTTAAATTCTAAATAATAGATTTTTTCTAAACTTGTTTTAACAAATTCAAATATTAGAATACATAATAACCAATTTGAAATTGTTTTAATCAATATATTATATTATTTTAATTTTTTTACCATTTTATATGTATTAGTTAATGTATTATATTGTTAGAGATTAATTTGTTTCAATTATATTTTGAAATTTTATAATTGATTAATTTTTTAAGATGCTGTTTTTGTCAAACACAATTTGTTCATCAGTTAGTTATAAGCTACCAACTAATTTATCAACTACCTGCTAGTTTATCAATTATCAATAAGGTAGTTTGTCAAACATAATCGATATGTGTTCAATATTTTCAAGCTATTACTTATGTAAAAGAAAGAAAATTACTTTAAATAATTTCTTTTACTTGATTTATTTTTCAAAACCCTACATTCAAATGAAATATAGTGGGTTTAATTCATTTTACATATTTGGCGGGTTGATTTCGATATTATTTCGTATTCCAAGTTTATTTGTGTTTGTGTTCCATAATATTTTCTTGTTTCGATATTATATCCCGTCTTCCAAATTTTGAAGTCGATATCTCTTCGTGATTAAAATGATAAAAATGTTAGTTCAAACTGAAATGATGTTTATCAAGCGAGATCATAGGTTTCTAATTATGTTGTTGCATTAATCATTGACCATTGTTGAAAAACAGTCATTACGGTTTAACGATACTGATGAGGAGAAAAAGGAAAACAAAGTATAAGAGTTAAAGATGTGTGTGGTGTTAAATAGGAGTATAGAAAACGAAGTTTGTGATTCAAAAGCATGTTATTTTACGACTTTGATAACCCTTTGTTTAAGGAAGGTTAATTTAAACAAGTAAATCCTATTTCAAAAATAAAATAAATATTAATAATATATATATGTCTTTCTTCACTTGTCCATTTTTTATATATTTATATTTTTGTTTTTATTTTTATTTTTATTTTTATTTAAGGGGATCATTTTCATGGCTTCAATCAAGTAGTTAATATTATTACCATGACTAGCCCCATAAAATCTTTGATAGTTCCTTTTGAAGTATTATTTTATATTCACTTTCATCCACTTAATGTTCCAATATCTTAGCTTTTCTCTTAACAATACACCAATAGCTTTTGTCTAGTATACAATATACTCGTATATACTCAAAGCAAGCTACATCTTGATTTTAATATTTAATTTTATTTTTTATTTCAGTCGATATTATAATATGATTTTATGTGATTTTAAGAAAACGATGATGTTTTTGTTTTTGAATAAAATATAAATTTGAAGATATCATAAAAATTTGACAAATTTATTATTTTTATGTAATTTTTTAATTCAATTTTTTGCCTCATTTTTGTGTAATTTTTCAATTCAAATTTTTTTATTATAATTTAATTTAGGTGCAATAACGAGGTAATTTATATTTGGTTTAATAATATATTTTTTTATAAATATAATAATTAATTATTTTGAACTCGATAATTATTCTAATTATATTTTAGATTTTTTATATTTTAAAAAGAGATGTTTATTCTTTATTTGATTATATTTATCCGCAGTTAGTTATACGAATTCAAACRTCGAACTTTAATAAGTTGTATTTATGCATATTTTACTTGTAATCTTAAATTTTAAGTAATATGCATCAATATACAATATTTTATGCATAAAAAATGGATTTTAAGAGTTTTTGTCAAATGCTTTATAATATAGTATAGATTTAATAATATAACTTTCTTATAACGATAATATTTAATTCTTTTGTTAGAACTCGTTAAATATCCTAATTATATTTTAGATTTTTTATATTTTAAAATGAGACGTTTATCCTCTATTTGATYATGTTTATCTGCAGTTAGTTATACGAATTCAAAAATCGAGCTTTAATAAGTTGAACTTATGCATAATTACTTGTAATCTTGAATTTTAAGTAGTGTTAAATGCATGAAATAGCAACCTACTTTCATAAAATTTCTTATTATAACATTCTATTTTTGTTTTTCTTTATTATAACAATGTACTTTCAAATTATTTTTTATTAAGACATTGTACTTTAAAAAATGTACCCATAATGGCAATGAGTTACCTGTTACCTTTTAAACCGGTTAACCCTTTGACTTTTTTGTTTGTGTGGCTTTAATGAGATGATGTGGATGACACATCATTTTGATAACTTAATTAAAATTAAAATAAAACCTATTTTAAATTAGGGGTGGGCTAATGGCACCCCAAGGGTTTACCAATGGGGGAGTGCTATTGGCACCCCTTTGATAGGGGTGCCAAATACATTGGAAATTGAACCTCATTAAAAAAAGATAAAAAATAAATAAAATAAAATAATATAATATATTTTATTATTATTACTTTTTATATTAATATATATCCTATAATTTATATATATATATATATATATATAATTCCTTATATT